TTTTATTTTATCTTATTTGATTTTGATTTGATTTTTGATTTATTGTAGAGATGAGGTCTCACCAAGTAGCCCAGGCAGGTCTTGAACCCGCAGGCTCAGGCAGTCCACTCACCTCAGCCTCCCAAAGCGCGGGATTACAGGCTGAGACACCGAGCCCGACTCACAATCAGATTTTTATTTTTATTTTTTTTGTTTTTGAGTTTGAGTCTCACTCTGTCGCCCAGACTGGAGTCAGCCTCGACCTGCTGGGCTCCGGCGATCCTTCTGCCTCAGCCTTCCGAGTAGCTGGAATTACAGGCATGCGCTACCACGCCCGGCTGATTTTTTGATTTATTGTAGAGATGTGGTCTTGCTGCCCAGGCAGGTCTCGAACCCGCGGGCTCAGGCAATCTACTCACCTCAGCCTCCCAAAGGCGCGGGATTAGACTTAATAAAGAGAATGTGGTAAATCAGTGTATACAGGATGTGTTAGTGATGGCCACATGAAAGAGAAAAATCTCCAAATAACAAAGGGTTTAAGCAAGATGGAAACTTATTTCTCTTTCACATGAGGGAAATTCAGAGCTCGGCAAGCCAGGCTGCCTCAGAAGCACCCATCTTTTTGCTCCACTATTCTCGCTGATGGGTTCTCTTTAAGGTTGGTGACTTCATACTCCAATATGGCTGCTGAAGTCCAGCCATCTCCTCAGCCATGTTACAAATAAGGTGATACGTCTTACTATGTGCCATAGGCCAAGCTAAGTCACATATCCAACCTCAGCTGCCAGAAAGACCTTTTCTGCATCAGCCATGATCATGCCACTGCACTCCAGTCTGGGTGCCAGAGTGAGACTCCAACTCAAAAAATAAAAAAAGAAAAGAAAACAGAAATTAAAGGTTTTTGTTTTGGGCAGAATACACTCACTGTAAACCAGGATTCTATTACTAAGAAGTGGGGGAAATGGATGCTGCCTGGGTGACCAGTGCTCTCTGGCCCAATACTAAATAAGGGATCACTGGCTTTAAAAGGAAGTTCAGGTGAAAATCCCAAGTTAGTCATGTACAGCTACTGTATTAGAAAACATGAGAAGGCCAGGCGCGGTGGCTCAAGCCTGTAATTCCAGCACTTTGGGAGGCCGAGGCGAGAGGATTGCCTGAGACCAGGGGTTCGAGAGCAG